ACGTCTACAGGCTGGGATGCTCCCCCCTGCCCGGCTCGTGGTGGGGGATTTATCGCCTGGCTCGGGTGACTCGGGGCATGGCATGCCACCAAAGGCTCGATGTCATTAATGCCTGTCACCTCCCTGGGCTCCTGTTTAAGGATGCTGCCGGCAGCTGGGGGGGGGGGGGTTGGTTTAGTGCCACTTGGAGACCAGTTTGGGATGGCCGCAAGCCATTGCGAGGACCAGTGGGTCCCCCCCGGCGCTGCACTCATACCCCAGTGTGTGTACAGCGAGCTGTTTTTTTAATAAAAACTTCATCGTCTCCACCGATACTAAATGTCTTTTATTAACCCGTGTGTTTTGATATGTAAATAAAGAGTTTCTTCCCCGGGATGCCCGGTCGGAGCGTGGCTTTGCTCTTTTTTTCAGCGATACTGCACAAACATCCCCTCGAGGAGCTGCTAACGCTGGCGGAGGGGCTGCTCTGCATCCCAAATCTTTCAAGCTTTTTAATTATTACAACTTTTTCCCCCCTTACCCAGAAAGGCTGTTTCTTCACGTGATCGTTTCCTAAAAAAAAAAAAAACCAAAACCCTACATTCACTAAAAATCGCCCCAGAGGAGACGATGATGCTGCGGGTCCCCAGGGATGGCCGATGCGGGGTGATGGTGGCCGGGAGCTTCGGTGCTTCCCATGGCCGTGGCTCCCTAACGAGCAGGCTAACGGGGATTAAGGCTCGCGCTGCACTAATTAAGCGAGGCAATGAGTAGCTCGCTGAGAGCCGCGGCTCTGCCACCCACCGGCGCCGCTGCTCCCTTCCCGGGGAGGATTGTAATTTATTGCCGGCTGTTGTTAAAGCACTGCTTGGGGGTGATTAATTTCCGAGTAGGGATAAACGCGGCCCCTGGAGAGGTGTCGCTGAACCCTGGTGGGTTCCCCCCCCCTGCTGCCAGCAGCCACGACGGGTGATGGGCCCCAGTTGGGGGGGTTTATCCATCCTCCCCATGAAGCTGGGGATGCTGCGGTGGTGGGCGCATAGCTGGGCCCTGGGACGTGCCCTGGGGGTGCCTTGGCCGGAGGGGTGGCACGGGGCGGCGTTTCTGGGGGGCACCGTAAACATTTCCTGGAAAACCCTCCTGCGGCGGGTGCTGCCGGCACAGCTCTTGGTCCCCTGCTGGGGAAGCAGGTGCCGGGCTAGCATCACCCACCGGCTCACTTTTCTGCCTGTGATCAGGGTGGCTGTCCCCTGCCCTCCTCCTCCTCCTCCTCCTCCTCCTCCTCCTCCTCGATGCCCATAGCTGCTCCCACCGTGGGCATCAGCCTCTTTGCACGATTTTCCCCCCTCCCAAAATAATTTCCGACCCTTCTCTGCGCAGCAACACCTGGATTCGTGCTGCGGATGCTGGTGGAGCATCACCGAGATGGTACCACCAGCTCATGGGGTGCGTCATGGTGGACACCACCCTCACTGTGGGTTGATGTCCCCACGAGGGCTCCCCAGGCCAGTAGCACCCCAGAGTGGGTGCTGTGCACCATCACCCCATCGTCAACCAACTGGGGAAACTGAGGCAGCACCCACCCAGGCACCCAGCCCCGCTCGAAGGGTTGAAGGGGCATACGAGCTGCCAGCTCTAAAAGCAAAAGGTGACGCCATCCCACCGCCATCCTGTGGCCACCAACTTGGTTATGTCACTCGACCGCCTGCGAGTAAACTTAGATGACCGGCCCCGGTGTTTGGCGTGGCGGGGAGGGCTGGGGACATGCCACGGGGCCCGGCCCCGCTCCCCCGGCCGTGTCACTGTACCCGGCCACCCCGCTAAAAATACCCGAGGGGGGTGTCGCAGGTGAGTGACGGCCCCGTTGGAGCCCGGCCCGTTCCTAATCCCTTCGTGGCTCCTGTCCCATCGTGGGTGGCAGCTGCTGATGGGGGCCGGGTGCCCCCAAGGTGAGAGCAGCTTCGGGGAGGAACGTGGTGCCAGGGGTAGGGAGGTGGCACCGCATCCTGGACCCCCCCCTTTCCCCGTGCGAGACCCCGACGTCCCACTGCACAGGGACACCAAAGCTGCGTTCGGGGTCACACAATTAAGCAAATAGGGGTTAAAAACACCCCGTGAAAAGGGTTTTTTTTGTTGCAAAAACATCGAGCCGCCCTTTTTGTCCCCTTCTCTGCCCCCCCACCCCAAGTTGAGGGGGAGGTCCCATTGTCTGGGACAAATGGGACACGTTGTCTGGGACGTTGTCTGGGACAAACCCCTGCCCAAGTTTGGGGTCTGCAATATGGGATATGTGTCCCGGGCTATCCAATATGGGATAACCTCCAGCATCGCCGGGGTCCCAGGGGACACACATGGGGTTTTCTCTGCTTGCAACCGTGACCCTTTCTGGGGGGGACAACCCCCCTTGTCTGTCCCGACTCAATTTTACCTTGATAGGAGGAGAAAGACGGGGAAGGGGACAACAAGCACCCCAAACCCTCCAGAGGCCGGATCCAGTAAAAGAAATTATGTGGGGTTTTAATTGTTGGGGATGCGGTGGGATAAAGGGTTTTCTTCAAAAAAAAAAAAGAAAGCTTTTTTTTGGTCAATTAGCACCTGGGGAGGGTGGCGTCTCCTGTCCCCAAGTCCCTGAGTGGGGATGGCCATCAGCTGGGCGAGGGGACCGTCATCCACATCCCGTGGAGCTGCCTGTGGGGTGCAGCGGGGCAGGATGCGGCCAGGCCGGGACGTGGTCCGGGCTGCACCTGCAGGGCGCTGGGGACGATCCTGGGCCCCGAGGGGGATTGCTGCGTGGTGGGTGGGTATTGATAGCCTCTGTGGGATGAAACCGGTCCCCCCTCGGGGTTAGGTGGGACAACTTGACGGCGACTTCCCCGTGCCTCAGTTTCCCTCAAACACCTTGGTGCGGGGAACATCTGTGCCTGCAGCTGGGACCAGGCTGCTGTGTGCCCCATCCCTGGCCTCGGTGCACGTCCCCATCCTAACCCCGACCCCCCCAGCGCTGACCGTGACCCCACCGGTGTTAACCCCGACTCTCGTCCGGGCGCCCCAAACATCCTCATCCCTCCCGTGCTGCAGCTGCAGCAGCCACGAGGTGGCAGGGCTCAGAGCAGCACGGCCGCATCCAGGCCAGGGCCTCATCCTGCAGTGGGCTGAGCACCCCGTTGCCGCCTGACCAGCTACCGCTCGGTGCCGGTGACTCCTTTTCCATGTGCTGGGGTGGCGGTCCTCGTCTTCGAGCCGGTGACGCTCCTCGTCGCGTGCCAGGTGCAAATGTCACCTCCTGTGGCACGAAGCCAGAGGCAACGGTGAAACTGGTCCGGCTCCGGTGGCGCACGCGGAGCCAGCCCCGGTGCACGTGGCTGCTCCCCGACCACCAAAGGCTTGTGGGAACATCAAAAAAAAAAAAAAAAGTCCTTAAAAAATCTGAAAAACACGTATTTCTTTCTGCGAGGCTGGCGAGCCCTCCCCATGCCCTGGGAAGGATGCTGGGCTGCTCCCGCCTGGGAAAAACAAGGTGGGGAAGGGGCTGCACCCCGATGTCAGGCCTGGCACCCGCAGGGGCGCGGGAGGCCGTGGTCCCTCAGCGAGGTGGCGGGAAACCTGTTTTGGGGTCAATAGTCCCCGTTCTGGGTTCTTCCCCATCTCTTGGGGAGGAAATTACAATTTCTTTTCTATTTTTCCTCACTCCTTGCTCGGCCCGGCTTGGGCCCGGGGTGGTTGGCGG